GCAGCAGCTGAAGCAGCAGCTGAAGCAGCAGCTGAAGCAGCTGCTGCTGCTGCTGGCTGCTGCGGTGGGATACCTGCCCATACACCGGGCTGCACAGGAGGATTAACAAAGGAAGGGCCCTGCATAACACGCGGGTGAGACCAATGTAGCTGCTGCTGCTGCTGCTGCTGCTGCTGCTGTCTGTACACTCCAGCAAGATCAGCAGGCTGCACCAGGGGCCCCCGATAGTGCTCCCCCATGTGACGCTGAAGCTCAGGGGCCCCTAGAGCTTGAGGAGGAGGCCCTGGGAGCAGCTGGTGCTGCTGCTGCTGCTGCTGCTGCATTTTGCTGCAGCAAGCCTACTGCTGCTTCTGCTGCTGCCAATGCTGCTGCTGCTGCTGTTGCTGCTGCCGCTGCTGCTGCTGCTGCCGCTGCTGCTGTCGCTTTGCGGGGAGGCCCTCCAGCAAGCCCTGACTGGAGCCCATCCATTGACAGAATTGTGCTGCTGCAGCTGCTCTCTGGGATGTGTGAGTGTTATCTCTGTAGCAGCAGCAGCAGCAGCACATGCTGCTGCTGCTGCTGCTGTTGCTGCTGTTGCTGCTACAGCTGCTAGAGGCTGCCAGAGGCCCCGGCCGCCTCTGCGTGCTGCTGAGAGGAGACAGCTGCTGCTAGAGGGTGAGAAAGAAGAAGCGCTGCTGTTTTTAAGGGAACGCAAACTCAACTACTGCTGCTGCATGTAGCAGCAGCAGCAGCCGCTGCTGCTGCCGCTGCATGCGGGGCTGGTGTTGCTGCTGCTGGCGGGGGAGTGGTTCTTCTAGTGCTGCTGCTCAGATGCCTCTAGGAGGGGTTATCCTTTTGAAAATGTGTAATGAATTTTAGTTGTTTTAGGCGCAGCAGAAGCAGCACAGCAGCAGCTGCTAACGCTGCAGCAGCAGCAGCAGCAGCAGCAACCCTGCCGGTCTCAGGGGGTCACTCCCCCCTGTACATACACCGCATCTGTCCCCATAGGGGCAGGAGACTCCATCGAGGCTTAACAGGAGACACATGCTGCTGTTAGAAGTGCATTAGCATGGTTGTTGCTTCTTTAGGGTTTGCCTTTTAGGGTTTAGGGTTTAGGGTTTAGGGTTTAGGGTTTTGCGTTAGAGCGATCCCTGTTTAGGAGGGCTGATATGGGGTGACAGCCACTACCTCCACTTCCTTCTTAACAGAAGCCTGCGGCGATGCTGTAGCAGCAAGTGTATAGATCAGCAGCAGCCGCAGCAGCAGCAGCAGCAGCAGCAGCCGCAGCAGCAGCAGCAGCAGCAGCGGGTGTATCCCGGAGTCTTAGTGCAAATCGTTCCCCTTGTTGCGTGATGAGCGACTCTGGGGGCAAGGCGAGTTCTCTGACTGCTGCGGCTGCTGCTGCTGCTGCTGCAGCAGCAGCTGCAGCAGCAGCAGCAGCAGCAGCAGGAGAGGGGGAAGATGATGTGCGTGTGGAGTTATCCGAGTGGGATAGCGACACGGAGGTGTCTGTGCTGCTGCAGCGCATGCAGCAGCACCGGCAGCGGCTGCTGCAGCAGGGGCTTATTAAAAAGAAAAGAAAAGCTGCTGCTGCCTTTGCTCCCATCGATGTGGAGTGGGTCCTGGGATCCGATCCCAGGCGGGGATACGACTACCTCACTGCTGATGAGAAGGCTGCCTTTCTCTCCCTCAAGCACTTTCATCTCTCTTCATCGTACGCCCTGTGTCTCCTCCTGTCTCCTTGCTCGCCGCTCTCTGCTGCTGCTGCTGCTGCTGATCAAGCAGCAGCAGCAGCAGCAAGGGCAGCAAGAGGGATAGCAGCTGGGAGTTTTGTAGTATCTCTGTTTGCATGCATTTCTTTTTGGGTCTCCTGATCTGTCTCCTTTGCCTTGTCTCCTTTGTCTTGTTTGTCTCTTCTGTCTCTTTTGTGTTGTCTCCTTCTGTCTCCTGCTGTCTCCTTTTGTTTTATTTGTCTTCTTCTTTCTCTGCTTGTCTTCTCTTGTCTGAATTTTGTCTTTTGTCTCCTCTGTCTTTGTCTGTCTCCTCCTGTCTCCTTTTGTCTCCTTCTGTCTCCTTGCTCTGTCTCTTTTTGTCTCCTTGCTCATTAAATTTATGTTTTTATATCTTTGTCTGTCTCCTTTCTCTTCTTGTGTCTCCTTTGTCTCCTTGTATATCCTTCTGTCTCCTTTTGTCTTCTCTTTTATGTCTGCATATGCGATATAAGTTTCTGTCTCCTTTTGTCTTGTGTGTTATGCCTTTACATTTGGTTTGACTTTCTGTCTCCTTTCTGCAGCACTTGCTTTCAAGGTAAAGAGAGACAGGGCAGCTCTGTCCCCTTGTGGAGACTGAGTCATCTCACCGGGAGATATAGAATCCCTGCAAATGTTTTGGGCCCAGGCTCCCTCAAAGTGCCCCCAGGCTTCAGGTCCTTCTACCTCCTTTTGTCTCCTTCTGTCTCCTTTTGTCTTTGTTTGTCTTTGTTTGTCTTTGTTTGTCTTTGTTTGTCTCCTCTTATATTCTTTTATCTGTCTCCTTTTGTCTCCTTTTGTCTCCTTTTGTCTCCTATTGTCTCCGTTTGTCTCCTATTGTCTTTGTTTGTCTTTGCTTGTCTTTGTTTGTCTTTGTTTGTCTTTGTTTGTCTCCTCTTATATTCTTTTATCTGTCT